AAACAAAAAAATTGGTTATTGATAAATTTAAACAACACATAAGTAGGGCCAAAAGCCCACACAGGTTAGGAAATTCTCCTATCAGCCACATATTTAGCGTATCACTTTCCATCAAGCAAAAGAGGTAGATGAGTGAATGTATACAATAATCTGTTGATAATCATATAAGTTATCTTTTATGCCATGTTACAGAATACGGCCTTTTCAGGAAAACGTGAATCCTGACGTTGTCGTAGGCCTACAATTATGGCCAGTTATTTCTGTTATTTCCACTTTAAGTCCAAATTTCAATGAACGTGACATCCTTATGATTAGCGTACGTGGAAAATATTTGAATATCGCAGCAGAAAGGTTACACACTTCCGGTGTTCATGGGTTCAATTATGTTCAATCTGATCCAGGAGTGTATTACCCTTGAGTGTTGATGTGTTGACTGTCTCAAGGTCGTTACGGCCTGAATACCCCAGAAGCCGCTACCCTGTACGATGTTTAGCCTGTCTGATTTGAATCCTTTGGAGCTTTTCGCCGAACACTTGGCAAGACAGTTAAATGTCGATCTATATTCGGTCCGCTATCTGTTAACCATCGTTTTTGGTACCAATATACTTTATATTAATGTTGTAGGTTATCCTATTGCCATAATTTATGCGCTCTTCATTCGTGATCGTGGTGCACGTGCTTGCAATATCTACATTTTCCTCACGGGATTTATCTTATCATGTTGGAACTTCGGTATATTGTCGCTTTTTTATATTTTGAGGCTTTGATGTGATCCATCTGTTTGCCGGAATTACGTTAACTATTTCGACTCTGCGATTTTGCGGCCCGACGTCGACTGCCGTCGCTCTGACTTTCTCTTCTAATATGGTTCCTTTACATTTAGTTCTTACAGAAAATTTAGATATATTTGCTCATAGGCTACTACCTGGTCAATTATGGTACCTACGACATAAATTGGACGATGGCATATTGCATCCTTTGTCTCAGATTAATCGGATTCTCTTGGGATTATAGGGATGGTGCTCTGCCCGAGGTTTGCCAGACTATAATATTAATGTCTTTACTATCAGCCTTTGATATTTTTAATTGCATTTTATTAATGAATTCCCCAACTATGTTTATCTTCCCGAATGGTGTAGCTACATGAAGATTAAGTGCCAGCGCCGTACACTGACTGCTCTGTTTTTCATTTTTTTGCCTGCCGTTGGCCTATTATTATGGCTTTTGCAGCTCGCGCTCCAATCCAGATTGTTAAACTACTCGCGACTCTGACTATTGGTTTGGAAATTTGTGTTTTCTTCCAGCGTGTCATACTGCAGGCAGATTTCAGACGCAGAACTGTTTTAGTCTTTGTGGTATTTTTATTTCTGAATATACTCTATCCGTATTTCAAATTTGCGAAGTCACACTGATACACATTGCGAATTAAACATAACGCACCACTCATTTACTCACCTCACTTTGCGTTTGTCATTGGTTTCAGGGATTGGTAGACACCAATTAATTCGACTTCTTGAACGAAAAAACCCAATATTGGTTGCTAAGGTCACGATCAGCAAACAAACTACCATATAAAAGTTGGTCAAGCCATAACAGAGAGGGTTGGGTGGTAGAGTCCCCAATGAATGCGAGCAAATTCATGCAGAACCATTTGGGGCTTTTTCTGCCATCATTGGGTCAATCATTACCATGAGTATCAGCTGCGATCGTATCCGGCGCGAATAGTCTACGGACGTTTTCGACATGGCATTTGGTTTTTGTTTGTGCCTTGACCACCCATA